TGTCCCTGCTGAGCTCATTCCCCTGCCAGGATGAACTTGGAGGTATGGGATTGGGGCTGTGGGGAAGAAGGAGGACCCAGGTCATGGAAATGACCACTAAAACTGCACCCTGCCAGGGTAGGGAGGCCTGGTGGGACTGCTGGCAGCATGGCAGCCCTGTAAATGTCAGGACCAATGATTCCCTGGTGAAAGGCAGGGAGGAGGTGCCATAACCTCCAGCTAATGCACATGCACACACAGTCCTGGCTGGGGAACACCCAGACCTGTCACATCTTTGACAGGCCCGACACTTGCTGGTTGCAGTGCAGTTGTGAGGCTCCTGGTGAGCTCAGCTTAGCTGTCTGGGATGCTAGCTTTAGGGTTGAAAACCCCTTTGTCAGGCTGAGGAAGTACCTGCAGTTGGTCCTGGATGGAAGGAATAGTAAAGAAGCCAGAGGCTGGCCTGGCCTGCAATGCAAGCAAGAAAGCCAGTCAGTGAAAATGGAAATGGCGCTGGGTGGGAGGCTATGGGCCACTGGGCCTATGAAGTGCTGGGCCTATGAACTTCATCAGCCTCCTAGGTAGTAGGTAGAAACTCATGAACTCAGTATACACAGTGGAATTCTGGCAGGCTGCGACCTGCCGGACATCTGACACCCCAGGCACCTCTGCACTGTTACCTGTGCTGCTACATCCCTCTTTCCCCCCTACCCCCACCCCAGCCTGTCCCTCACCCCCTGATGCCTCCATTTCCATTTTCACTGACTGGCTTTCTTGCCTGCATTGCGGGCCAGGCCAGCCTCTGGCTTCTTTACTATTCCTTCCATCCAGGACCAACTGCAGGTACTGCCTCAGCCAGACAAAGGGGTTTTCAACCCTAAAGCTTCCAAAGATACATTTTTTTTAAGTACTCCTTTTCTTCCCCCCGTAATACACATATAGACATAAAAACACAAAATAAGCCATCACACACCATGAGTAACATCGTATGTCCAACACAGCACATCTTTACTTCTTGCTGTCAATTCCTTTATAAAACGACAGGCTCGGTGACAGTTCTGTGTGGGGACCTTTGATGCAGCT